GTCATTCTTTGCCAAAAAAGATAAACCCTGCCAGGGAAAGACCCACCTTACCATATCCTTATACTAATACAAAAACAAATGGTCTGTTTTAAATATCAAACACTTAAAATGCCAAATCTTTCTTCTACGATGTGTTTGAGATTTTGATATTTTCAAGCTGCCATACTTGCAATTATAACAGACCAAAGCTGTACCTGGTTATATACCTTGTACTTTACCAAATTATGTCCAAAGAAAGGCCTTGGTCCTACACCTACAGCTTCACCACTAGCTCCAGCCATACTTCACTGAACAGGATGAGCCAACCTTTAAACCCTTCCCTGGAATTATTTTAGTTCATACTTTCAAGTGCCTTACTTCCGTGCCTTGTAGATGGAGGACATAGTCAACAATACTGAAAATAGGCACTCAGCTAAAAACTATCATGTAATCATTACATTTATGACGCTCAGCCCACCACAGACACTAGTTCCCATTAAAATGACAGCTTTTACTATGTATTACTCTAAGCAATATACTGAGAATTTCACATCCATTTGCAACTCTAATACATTGAAGTGCCCCAAATACCGTTCTGCCATTGCTATTGGCAGATGCTTTTTAGTAGTGACATTCATATGAGGATTGTTAGCTAACTAGCAAATCTGGAACTCAAGTATGCGTTAATTCAGAGTAGCAAGAAAAGAGTGGGACAAGAGAAACAGGAGTCCAGAAAATAGAAAATTAGCCCTCAAAGACAGTAAATGCACCTTCATAATAGTTAGTGTGACACCGACACTTTAAAGGCTATGTTGTCTTCCCAACACAGAATGTTCTAAACAGCTTTAAACATCCATATGTTTGACACTAAAATATGTTGTTTTACCTGCTTGGATCTCTTGTATTGTCCTAAACCAACTTTACCATCCCTCCACAAACTACTTGTGTTTATCCAAATGCAGTTCTTGTCTCCCCAGCTGTACAATCCTAGATTTCTGTATAATAATGGCATTGGCCACTTATTTGGGCATGTTCTTATTTTATTGAGGTCATTACAGACTTTTTCTCTGCTCTCTACAGTTGCATTAGCAGCTTCCTTCCTATTTTTAAATCAGCAGCTAATTTCAGCAACTAAGTGCCTATTGTTTCTTCAGGGTCACTCATAAAACAAACACCATTATTGATCTTTCTGAATCTACCACTAGTTTTTCCCTTTTATCTCATCTGAGTGACTATTCAAGGGGCAATTTCTCAATAAACCAGGACATCTATCCTAGATAAACTAGGGTATCTGAAGAGAGAGATTTTTCTGTCTATGTGTGCTAATACAGCTCCTATCACAGCAGTAGCCAAGCAACTCATAAACATTTTGTCTCCACTCTACAACACCTTTTTAAAGGGAAAAGTGTTGTTAACTGTCTTTTATAAACAAGGAAGTAAGACACGGGGATTTAGTGCTTCGAAGGCAAAGAGCACTGCAAAATGTACAATTTTCTACATTTTAACCACGATGGCATCTTCCCTCTATTTTTGTAGGCACTCTGGATACACAGTTGCTTATTTGCTGGACTACAGCAACTGATGACCTGGCCAGTTGGTATTTATTCTGCATTTCTGATGAGCATCTGAAGACAACAGACATCACAGACATAGAAAAATCATGTTAAACTGAACTGTTGCCTTTATTTCACCTACCGTTATTATTAAACTTCAATACAATTCTTGAGGCCTAAACCCTAAACCTATTTGCTGTCCTCCAGTCACGCCAAAGGAAATTTTGGCTTTGCACAGGAAAATGTGATACCAAAATGCAAAGCAGCCCTTAAACGTAATAAGACCTAAGTGACATGTTTCAGACATCAAGTATCTGCCATTACCGCTTTGGCCAAGCGTGGCAAATTTGGTCCCTTTAAAATTAATTCAAGACCAATCCACAAAGAAACTTTAAATGCAGTTTGACTGCTATAACACACCATCAGTTATCAGAAAAAAATTTCCAATGGTCCCCTGGCATATCATCACTATCTAGGCACTTTCTGCCCGGTTTCTCTCTCTTTACTCACAGGGATAGAAGTTGGGCTTGCTGATCTTGCTCTTGCTGAACACTAGATCAACATACCACTAAAGAGAGGGGGTGGGAAGCTAACGGTGTAGGACTAGAGACTGCTGCCTGTGCTGGATTTGCCTGCTGTGCTGGGCCACGTGGAGCTGGATGAGCCCATGAGCGAGAGCCCACCTAGTGAGAGACAGGAGTCACTGAGCTGGGCCCAGCTCTGCACTGCTGCTGCTGGAGCTTCTGGGATCCTTCTCTGTATGACACTACCCATGCACACAAAAATATACTGTGGGTTCTGTGCCAGGTCAGTTATGTCTGTGTGCTTCATTACAGGGCAGGCAGAGCACTTCTGTCCTGCTGTAACACTTCTCAGGTTTATTAAACACAGTTTAAGAAGTTTGTCCCCAGACAGGAAATTTGTGCCAAAGGTCTCAGGGATGCCAAACACCATTTGGTAGGGGCAATAACACTGCCATTTAAATGTATTGTTACTCTTATTATTAAGCTACTATATTAGCATGAAATATGTAAGTTTTTATGAGAATACAAAGATCAAACACGCTAATTGCATAATGAATAAAGAAGTAGCTAGAAACCACTCAAGGATCCGGAAACAAGTGAATCCCCTGGATAAAAGGCATTCACTTAATCAGGGTATCTGAGTTGCATTCTCAACTCAAATATTTATTTTCTCCTTACTTGTATGCAATAACGTTTTTTGAGAAACAAAATACAGACTGATGCCCTCAGTAGGTTTTTCCTTCACTTAAGAAAGCATGCATCAGGCAAACCTTGGAAAACAAGAGGAAGAAAAGTCTTAGTAAAGATATCATGATGGTATTAGGTCAGGCAGACATCAGCCTGATCTACCACAAAGTTGTATGCGAACCCATCACAAGTTACAGGAGCACGTTCTGTGCCTCTTGACACTCTGGTGAACTAACACCCAGTACCAATCATCCCCTGGCCTGACAGCTCTCTTCCTACCTAGTGGTAGACTCTGGGCTCTCTACAGTTTCTGCCTCTACTTGCTAAGTCATGTTAAAACTAGAGACTGCTTTGTCTTCACTTGAACTTTACATCCTGTTAGTCTGCACAAAGGAAGTGAGCAATGTGAATAGCACACCTGTTTTTTCCAAGTGAAGATGCACTTTGTTGGATATTATTGCCATTCAGATATCTATTTAGCAACCCAGTCAAAGGCTATGACCAGCTGTACAGCATATAATGATTTTTTGAAAGGAAAGAAAATGCCACTAAAACAAAAGGCCCCGTTCTGCTTCTGAGTAAACAAATGGGAGTTTTACAAAGGTTCAAAAAGGAAAGGGATTAACATGCTTCAACGTGGTAATGGTCTCAACTGTTCACATTAAAATTTTCACAGTAAATTAAACCATGACAGAGGTAGGAAAGAAGTCAATTTTCAGTGGCTCATGCTGTTCTGCTGACATAAATTGCCATTTTTTAGGTAGTATATCCACCAACTGGTACAATGATAGAATTATAAAACCACAACCCGTTGTTGATTATGTTCGGCCTTTTGCATGCTAATTTTAGTCTGCTCTGCCAAAATAATTGAAAGTACCACCTTATTTACAGGCTTCTAGATATTTAGCAGCCTCTCGCTATTCTTTTTTCACCAACCTTCGCTTAAGCCTGCAGTGTTGGCCTTCCCTCCCTGTATAGTGTCTGCTGTTCAACACCACTTCTGCCTCCTCAATTCTGCTCAGGACACCTTTCCAGCACTTATACCCATCCTTTCCAGGGCTCTCTTGTCAAGGATAATGTTAAATGTCAGTCCATCTTTACCCTGCTCCTCTATGTTTCCCTGCATACAACACTTCACTATCTTCTTTACAGTCTATAAAGACCAGCAACTTTCCTTGACTAGAGAATGATGGCATGAAGCACTACCCAGTCATCCCAGTAAGACTGAAGAACACAAGTAAATACAGACTCACTGGTTGATGCCTGCCAAGAGTTCCCACAACACGTGTTACTCAGTGAGTTTACACAACAGTGACCAAAAGGGAGGGAAGGGACCGGCAGTGTAAGTGTGCCACGGTAACAGATCCCCTGGAGAAAGCTCTGCCCTGCGTTATTGTAGCAGCACCAGAAGTGGCTGTTTAAACACAATCCAGCCCTTATCTGACCGCCAAATGCCCACGATGCCTTTGCACCTCAGCTGTATCATGGCAGCATAAAACAAAAAAATGACAAAGGCCTATGAAAGAAAGTCAACCCACTAAAGGACAAGGTGCGGCGGGAGGCCTGACACCCGAAAAGCGCGGGTGGCAGGTGGGTTGGGGGGCTGCCACAGAGCCAGACCCCGCTTCACTCACCAAGCTGAGCTGAGCCTCCCGCGCCCACCGGCCCCGGGGACACCCGCAGCCTGACTCCGGCCCTCGCCCTCTGCACACCTGTCCCTGCCCCAGCCCGTGCCCCCTTCCCCGCAAGTCCCGGGCCCGCAGCGCTGTCCCCGCCGGTGCCTGGGCCGCGCCGGGCCGGGGGCGGCGGCCGCGCTGCCCCTGCCCTGCCCCGGGCCGCGGGGGCCCCTCTGCCCCCCGGGGGAGCCGGGGGCCGGGGCGAGGGAGGGCGTATAATAAACAGCATCGTTGTCATGCGGGCAGGGCTGCCGGCTCCCCGAGCCTCCTCCCCGCGATAACAACCCAGGTACAGCCCGCGCTCGCCCCCCTCCCTCCCTCCTCTCCCTCCTCTCCCTCCTCTCCCTCCTCCTCCTCCTCCTCCTCCTCCTCCTCCTCCCGGGGGGCCGGGGAGAAATCTGCAGATCAAAGAAAAGATGCACAATAATAGCGGGGTGGGCGCGCACCGCGGCCCCCCGTCCGGCGGGGCCGGGGCCGGGCCCTCCGGCGGCTCCGTGGCCGCGGCCCGGCCGTGCCCGCCCGGCGGTGCGGGGCGAGGGGGGCGGCGGCGCAGGGCCGGGTGCCCCCTCCGCGGTACTCACCCGGGCCGGCCAGTGCGGGTACCCCTTCATTTTGGCGAACACCAGGTCTCCAGCCTTGTATTCTCGGGGCCGCGGACGAGCCATCGGGAGCCGCCGTGGGAGCCGCCGTGTGTCCCCCCGCCCTCCCGCACCCCCCGCCCCGCGCACGCCGCCCCGGGGGCAGCCGGGCGAGCCCCCGCGGGGTGCGATGCGCCCGGGCACGGGGCGCAGCCGGGAGCGGGGCCGGGCCGCGGGCGATCCCCGATCTCTCCGGCGGCGGCGGCGGCGGCGGCGGCAGGAGGAGATGGGGTGTGTGTGTGTGTGTGTGTGTGTGAGTGTGTGTGTGCGTGTGTCTGTGTGTGTGAGTGTGTACGCGGGGGAGGGGGAGGCCTTGGACACAACCCCAGCAGCCCCCGGTACCAGGGAGCGGGGCTGGCCGGGCGGGGGCGGCCGGGGAGCCCTCGCCCCGCGGCGGCGGCGGGCGCGGCGCTGCCCGCGGCCCCCCCGTGCGCGCTGGGCTACGCCGCCCGCGCCGCCCGCTCCATCCCCGCCGCAGCCGCCGCGGCCCCGGGAATATGGAGCCGGCTCCGCCGAATTACTCCTCGGGCAGCGACCGAAAACAGGATCTTCTTATCCCCCCCCTCCCTCCCCAGCCCGCCCGCGCCTCCCCCCCGCGCTTTCCCTTCCTGTTATTTTCTAGGTACACAGATCGGTTTCTATGAAAATAGGAGAGCAGAGAGCGCTCCAGTCCCGCCCGGCCCTCCCTTCCTCGCCGAAGCATGACATGGTTCTTTATGCGCGCCCGACATGGAGGCTGGGCGGCGAGGAGAAGCCGGCCGGTGTTTGCAGCAGGGCGTCCGCTTCTCCCGGCCGAAGGCTCCCGGCCTTTGGGCCTGGGAATGCCCTGTCCCCCCTTGTCCTGGAGGCCCAGGCCCCTGGTGCCTGCAGACCCCTCTTGAGCCCTCCCCGTGCCACCGGGACCTGCCCCTGAGCAAACCCCAGGCAAAGGCCTGGCTCCCAGGCATGGGGTTCTCCCAGTTCTGTACCCAACCTGTTCCCCACCGCCAGCCCCTCCACCTGCCTTCTCAGCCTAAAACTAAAACCCACGGCCACCAAACCATGGACCTTGGAGCTGCACAATGGGGGCTTCCCCTCACAGGGTGTTTGGGATCTGGCACTTGCCAGATGATGCTGGTTTCTACAAATGTCCACCCCTGTGGAAGGGAAGCGCTAGGAACTCACAAATCCTAAAGTGCTGCTTTTACCATAATGTTACCAGTTCAGTTGTAATGTGCAGACATCAATTATTACTGACATTTGTTACACTGAAGTATTGTCTAGTGGAGCAAAACTAGAAAGGCACCTGCAAGGTGGGCTACAAGTGGAAAAGCTTAGAACAGGTTTTTCTGCAGGTCTGGCTGAGACTGTAGCAGTGGATTCCCCTACCACTCCCACATTCAAGATGGCAACTGTCCTCTTTAGGTTTAGGGAGGCAGCTCTGGCTGAGTGCTTCTCTGAGTCCCAAGGAAAGCACCTGGCCACAGGCAGTTCCTGCTGATGAAGAAGGAAATAGATGGCTGAAGACTGTAGGGTCACATTTTGGGGAGGGGGTAGATGGACCATAGAGAGCACTTCCAGTCTGCAAGGGCTGGTAATGACAGAGAAATAAGACAAATAAATCCTTCTTCTAGCACCTGTTCCTGGGCTGGAATGGGACCAAGAAGACTCTTGCTGTTTATGGTATCCCCAGATGTGGCTCTGGTACCCAAATGCCACTGTTGCTAGTATGTAAGTCAATAAAGTTTGTCACTCTGGGTCGTAAAGAAGGATAAGCACTTCCCTGCTGGTGAAAGCACTGCTGTAAAATCATTAACTCAGGTATCAGTAGCAGACTAATAATGAAAAAAAAAAAATCCAAAAAGCCAGATAAACATTTAGATGATTAGCCTGCACTGTGCTCAGTGCTGTTATGTGTTCCTGAAGTACTGCAATCAGTGACAGGGTTGCCAGTGCAGCCACCTTCAGTATAGACATGTGGCCAAATAGCTCACTTTCACTTTCACATCAAATAGGATTTTGTATCCTTTTAAATTGATACCTAATTTCAGTTTAAATTCCCTTCAGAAAAATGTAATATAAAATCTCTGAGTATAGGAGCTGTGGACTCTGATCTGAGTCTGTCCAGAATAATCCTATGTGCTGTCTTACCTCCCATACCTCTATCAGCTCCCCAAACCAGCCTTACTTCCAGAATACTTACTAGAGGGGTGGAGCTGCCCCCTTTTTTTTTTTTTAATGCATTATTTGCTTTTCATTTCAGGTACGAATAGCTCTTTCTAGTACCTTATTTAGTGACCTTAAATCAGAAAGGAGCAGGATGTGTGCCAATTTCTTCCAAAAGGAAACTCTACACTTCATATACACACCCATGCAACAATGTATTGCTTATGTCAAAATAGCAACACTCAAGTAACTCAATACAGCACTGAAATGTCTGATTGCAATGTACACATTTTTACTTCCTTTTGTCCCAACACAGTGAACAAATAATGTTTCTAGTCTGCAGTGAAGATAATCACATATTAGAGCTCCAAAGAAAACTCATCCCAGGGACATGCAAGGAGGCAGCTCTCTTTTCCTCTTGTGTATAGACTGCAAAGGATGAATGAGTTGCTAAGGTAAGAACTCTGCTCAGGTTTGGCCAGCTGAAAATTCTTAAACATTCTGCTGACAGTTCCTCCATCAAGTAATGGTAAAGATGCTTGGAAAGCATGGAGAAGAAAAAGCAGATTTTCCTGCCGATAAATGAAAAACCAAATCAGTGTTCCACACATTAACAGTACAGAAAAGCACCTTGGCACAAACAGCAAAGGAGTTTGGTAGGGTATATAACCCCCTCAGCCACTCATCACAGCATACAAAGCCCGAGATCTCCTGCTATGTCACCTGTATTCTGTTCCTTTCTCTTCTGTTACAAAGGGGAGTTCATCTACTCCTTCTACACAGAAGTGTGAAAGGGGAGTGAAGAGAGTTTCTTCAAACACTTCAAGAGCAGTTTCAGACCATACCAGTGAATGGAGGGGTGCAGAGGCTTGCTAATAAATGTACTGCATGTGCATAGGCTGGGTCCTAAGCCTACAGAGGCCAACAGCTGTGTCTGCTCTGGGCACAAAGGTCAGCAGGTCACAGATGCAGCACTAGCATGTCCTTACAGAGCAAGGGAGACCCGCAGCAGGGATGGGTCTCTCCTTCCCCCTAAGCACCCCACAATGATAATACCAAGTTCTCTCTCACCTCGCAGCCTGCCAGACAGGTGTTATATTTCCAGAGCAGGGCAGTGTACACAAGTATGAGCAGGGAGAGGGGGTGAAGGCAGAGGCCCAGCAGGACCATGTAGGGAGGTGGCAGGGCCAGGAGCATGGTCAGTACTGAAACCCTGAGTCACCCAGGAGAGATGGAGTCTGGGGTAACTATTTTGAAGTCATTACCACACTACTGAATTTTGCTTTCCCAATAAATCTCAGGAAATGCTGTTCTTAAGTTATTGAGAATCTTCAAGCTAGTTCTGATCACTTCCCCCCTGTTCATATGAGGAGAAAAAAAAAGCTACACATTCCTGGTTGAAAACTTTCACAGTGAAAGAATTTCATTGATTCAAAAGTATGGATCAATCTTTAAGAAGAGAGTATGTGGACATAAAAGGCCTAATTTCAAAGGAATCCTCCAAAGTCATGAATAAATTTTTAAACACACCTAAGTTTTGCATTAAATGCTTGATGACCATGATCACCTACTTGTATGCAAACTATTCATGGTGCTATCACTTGCCATTTTGTGAGAAGCTGCCTACATTGTGTCTGTTGAAGCCACACAGATTATTGTATTTGCCTCTAAGATTCTGTCCCTGGCCACCTTACAATTTTTGCTTTCCCTGCTCAAATCTCTTTGAGATCTCTGCAGCATGGCCACTTGTACCATCAACTTTACTGTTAGACACTAAAATAAAATTATTTATTTTTACTTATCTATCTATAGATGGTATAATTTTCTTTCCTTCTGCATTTCCTTTTCCTGTATGTAAAAAATGTGTCAGTGATGATTACAATGATCAGTGTTTTGTCTATGTCCACAGTAAGCTAGAGCTTCTCTGTTAAATATTTTAATAGGAAATTGTTCTGGATTACAACTGAGCCATTCCCCTGTGCAAGATGTGTCTGAGAGCACTGTCTGCAATCACAGAGCTACTTCATGTCAGGCAGAAAGAGGCCATGATGTTTTATGTCCATCCCAACATGCACAGAAAGGCACTTACCATGCCCATTAGGATATTCTTAATTACTGGAGATAAGAAGCTCACCAGGGGATCTCAAGCCTTCTCTGTAATAGGCTTAGAAGGGAGAAGGGTGTGTATCATAGCTGGAGCAAGTTATCTGTACTCAGTTTCATGAATCTTCTTATGTTATACACTCCTAATCATATTAAATTAGACAATCTTTACCGTGATTGCTTTACATGTTGCAGAGGTGTGAAGGCGTATCCTAGAGGCAGAAGAGATTGAAGCACTTCATTTAAAATTAACTTTCTCTCTGGTTGGTAGCTTTCCACTGTAAGCTGGAAAGGTTTGTATGGGATGGAAATGTTATTAGCAAGTATGCATTGCTGCCATTCCTTGTTCTCTACAGGCATTTCAGCTAAAGCTACAGCAGGCAAAAGGTGCCTACAGTCAGTGCTGCTTAACAGGTTCCAGTTCAAACCTCTGGGTTTAGTTGCTTACACGTTTTTCATAATTTAACCATTAGAACTGAAATTTTCCATGATCAATCAAAACTCTTCTGACAACGACTGTAGAAGAAATAACTGTAAAATTACCAAATTTCCAGGTACCATATGAATGTAGCTGAGTTGCAAGAGTCTGAAAAGCATTCACAGACACTCAATAGGGATTGATAAACAAGTCTCATGTTCTGTCTGGACTAACCATGCTCTAGGCTAAAGTGAATGTGATTCAGCTCATGACTGGAGATGACTGCAGAAGCAAATTTGGCTCATGAGAGGGAAAAATGGCTGTTCCCCTACGAATACCTCAACAGCACCAGTGACCCAATCGACATGCAGAGAGAGAACTGGGAAAAGCTGGAAGGGGAGCAGGAGCTAAAGCCTGGGAAGGATGGGAGAAAAGCAGAAAGAGATTAAGAGATAGAGGTAAAAGCAGTCATGAGTGTAAGAACACAAAGATTTCAGAGTATCTTAGTCTACATCAAGAAAACCCACACATTATCTACCAAAATTCTGTGACCCAGTACATCTCATTCTCTGCTGGCAAGCTCTCCATACAAAGACTAATGACCTGTTACTGTGCTGCCAGTTGGCTCATCAGTTTATGTGGAAATCCTGACACTGCACTCAAACTCTCTGACCTACCAGAGCCTCTAAATGGTAACCAGCCTGAGGTTTTCTATGGGGAAAAAAA